ACAGGTTTGCTCGTGGATTTGATGTAGGATGTTAAAGAAGGAGAGGAAAGGGAAATGCCTAGAGTTTTAGCATGAGCAACTGAATAGAGGATTTGCCAAGATGGTGAAGAATAGAAGAGAAGTGGGTGGGGGTAGGGAGAATCAAGGGTTCTTGTTTGGTGTGCTGACTTTTGGATGCTATTAGATATCCAAGGGACTCGGGAGAGTGGGGCTGAAGATATGAATTGGGATGGTATATAAAGCCCTGGAGCTGGCTGAAGTCACTTAGGGAGAATAAACGAGAGGAGAGAAGACAGGAGGGCTAAGGACCATACTCTGGGACACCCCACCTTTAGGGGAAGATGAAGAAGGTCCAGCAAAGGAGCAGGAAGAACAACCGGTGAGGCAGGCCAAGACCCGGGCGCACAGGTGTCCTGAAAGCAAGGGCGGAGAACGCCTGGACAATGGCCATCCGTCCTTCAAAACTCAAATCAGGTTGTCACCTCCGTGGAAAAATCTTGCTGGATCCTTCTGCACCCTGGCCCCCAGGCCTTGCTAGGGACCCCTCTGTGCTCCCGTAGGACACAACACATGGTGTTACGGCTATCAGCTTGCTTGTCTGCTCCACAGAAGGGAAGAGGCATTCGTTTAATTGTTCCTCAAGTGAATGGCTGGGCCAGATGAAGCACAGAGAGCTGGGCCCCTTCCTCCCTGAAGCTTGCCATCCAGTGTGTTAAGGACAAATCCCCGAATAACTGCAGCCCCCACCCTGCTGCTCAGATGAGTGTTCCATCAAAGGCAAGTCAGGGCCGGCCACATGCTGAAGGTGGGATTTGAGCTGTACTTTGAGGACGGGAACCTTCATGTCTACCTCCACAGCAGTAGTAACAGCTGCTGGCTTAAATGACAGGCTCTGTCAGCCCGCCTCTTCTGGCTGAGAGCCAGACTATTCCCTGGGTTTCTTTTTTTGTGTTTGTTCAGAAATTAAAATAGTTCTGCTTAAAATCATCTCTGGGATGACCTGGAAAGAGGCCTCACCAGCATGAAGTGGGATAGTTTTAAGCCCTGGCCTGCATTGCTTAGACCAATCTGGTACTGTTTCCCCAATTTCTGTGGCACATACGTTGTCAGCAGTTCTTAAACCCCATTAAAAGGGTCAAGGTCTGAGCTACTCTACCTCAGTCCATTTAAGGAAAGGTAACCTTGCCTACAAAACCATCCATCTGAAAGACTCCTTAGATATTAATAGATAGCAGAAAGATAATGAGGGCACAGTCTCTGAGGTCCGATATAATCAGATATAGCCAAACCCTTAGAAAGATCCAGAAGGAGTCTGAATTGACGATTTTAAAGAGTAATACAGAATTTCGATCAAGACCCTCATGTGGGCTTTCCCATCATAGTAAAGTCTGTTACCTAAAGACAACATCTTTCAGGTTCTTTGTCTTTAAGGCTTTGTGATCCTTTGACTTTCAGACACTTACAGATGAGGAGCTATTGCTAACTAGGCCTCTCCACCCCAGCCTCAGAGGGCCTCAGGTTTGTGAAGTTATGGTCAATAAGAGGTAGCCTGTGGCATTATTCATAAACTTATTTCCTAACACAACGACTTTGTAGAACCCAACTTGCTCATAACTTGGAGTGGTCTGTATGGAGCTCCCTGTTCTGATGAACTGGACTATTTGCAACTGTCATCTTTACAGAGTCTTAAATAATTGCAAGAATATCCCTTAGCACACCTCTTTTAAAACTGTGGATTGTATCCATTACTGCAGCAAAGAAACTGCGCTTGAGTCCAGCTTATCGCTGCCCAATCTGCTCTGGTATACTTTCATCAGCTAATAGTAACAGAAAAATTTAACGTTTTCTTTCCATAACTTAGAAGGGGAGATCATTGCCAAAACCTGACTTCCAAACTTCCACAATTGCAGCCTTTACCAAATCATGATGGGAGAGTAAAGGAGGCCTTCTGAGTCCCAGCTCAAAGGAAGGCACTTTAATAAGGATCAGGATAGGTTAAGGCATTGCCCACATTGCACCTTTTCCTCTCCAGCTAGCTAACTTTTTCCCTAATCAGTCAGTGTTATCAGGCATAATGAGAAGAATGGGATAAAATTGTAACCTCCCTTCCTCAGTTCTGAGGCATTTGAACCACCAGACAGCCTCATCCCAGGAGCTCTTTGCCCCTCCCACGCACCTTCTAATCAGCCCCTACCCACCTCTTCCCGGGTCAGTGTTCCTCTTAGCTTCCCAGAACCCTAAGTGTCCTCCCCAGTGTCCTGCAGCACTAGATAAAACGTGCATGAAAATAGGAGAAAGTCAAGAATCCCAGATCCATCACAACTATATGCCATTGGCAAAGGAAAATTATAGAATGTCACTGGGTTGCAGCAGCTATAAGGACAAGAGCAGGACCACAGGAAGAGGCTGTAGCCAGCATGGGTTTGACGTGTGTGCTGACCACAGATCTCTGCCCTCTACGGTAGGTGTCCCACTTACCTACCGTAAGTAGGTACCCGATTCCCTTGGGGGACCTACCTTTTTAGACTTTCCCAGCTACCATCTTTGAACCATGGGCTTTTTACCTTAATTACACTTCTGAGATGACGGCTAACAGGAGCTTTGTGATTGCAGGGCAAAGATGGCACTGCAGCAGTACCTGGCGTGATGGGAACGCCCTGGGCGCCTGCGAGCATCCCACATCTTTGTTAAAGGAAGTACAGGAACTAGCCTCATTTGATTCCTTCTATTTGCACAAGTCACCTTGGACTGCAGGGAGCTGTTTTGCAAAAGCAATTTGGTAGGCTTAGATCTCAAACTCACCTTGAGAACATTTTTTTGAGGTAGTAATTTCCTCAGAGGACTATTGTGTTTTGTTTTGTTTCTTTCTGAGCTACCTGGACTCTTTATTAGAACAATCAATTATTTTCCTTTGGACCTACAATTTTTTGCCTATGCTGCAGCCACTTTGTGAGTGAGAATGGCTGTGTGTGTGTGTGTGTGTGTGTGTGTGTGTGTGTGCGTGTGTGTGTGCACGTGCGTGCACGTGGGTCAGGATGAATGGACGTGTGTGTGTGAGGGATACCTCAAAGTTTTCTTTTCTTATTTTGTGTGAAAATCTCTTTTCTACAGATTTTCCAGGGTTTAAGCATTGCTTGCTGTATAAAAATCTTTACTGAATTATATACAGTTTGAATGAAATGTTATTTTAAAAACAAAACGATTGTTAAGTGTTCCATAAAGGTTATGTTGGATTTTGGTCAGATGAATATTTGTAAGTAAAAAATATATGCATTTCTGAACCTCAACTTACATAGATTTTCTTTATAAAAAACAAAAAAAGAAAAAAACAAAACGAAAAGGTTGGCTATAGTTGGCCTGAATAACAGGCACGATATATGGTGCTGTGCAAAATAGTAAGCTAGCATCTTATACTGCCGTCGATATCAGCAGGTACAGAGCCTCTTTTCAGCCTAATTCAGTAAGCTCTCAGGCTTCCAAGTCAGATGGACAGGGTGGAGTGGAGTGAGGCGACAAATACACCATAGGTTTTCTGAAACATCAAAGGGAAGTATAACTACTGATAGTGAAAGCCCAGCCATGACTGGTGGGCTATGCTTGGCAGGAACTGGGCACCGAGAGCCTCCCAACTGCCCTAAATCCTGTCACTGGTATAGCAATATATGGCAGGATTTAGAACCAGTCATGGAACCTTAAGCTCCAACTAAAGTAGGTCATCACTTCGTGGAAACAAAGTCCGATCACCTTGTGCTTCCTGAAACAGCATATATCACTGTGAAACTAAAGAACGTCCTACAGACGCATCTGTAGGAAGAAGCAAAGAACAGGATAGTTTAGAAAGCTGTTTTTCTCTTGGCTATACTCAGCAAGTTCTATATACTTGTCACTCAGGACTGCTATTCAGTGTGCTTTGGTAAAATGAGATGGGAATTTTAGTAAGCGACGCGGCTAAGATTTTTTCCTGCATGAAGCCCAAAGCACTGACGTTTGAGAGAAGGGAAGGGGGTCTCCCCAGGAGGACCGCAGATGACCGCCTTTTCCAGCCACTACTGCTTAGCCCTTCGGCAGCCCTCAGCTTGGCACACGCTCCAACTTCTGGGTCCGCTTCAAGGTGAACTCAAGGAGGTTGCTCTTGACTGTTTGAAGGTACAACCAGCCTCGCTTTTCCCTTTGCTCTGAGAAGTTCAAAGGCATCGCGGCCAGGAAGCGAGGTCTGCGGCCCAGAAGCTTGCCCTGAGTGCGTGCACATGACGGGTTCCCCAGCCCACCAGCCGCTCGTGACGGGGCACCCCATCACCAACCTGCTCCTTCCCTGGAAGAGTTAAATATGTTTGATTGCAAATGAATGTTTTTAAAGTGTATTTAATGCCGTTTTTTTCTGTTCTCAACACGACCACCCAAGATTCAAACACAGAGATTTCCAAGTTGTTATTTTTTCAGAACATTACTGATTTAAAAATCTGTCACAACAGGAACTTGGGTTTTGTGCAACCATCAGAGTGCTAATATGCAGAAGCCAGTTTAAAGAAAATGGAGTGTATTGGGGGAAAAGCCTTACTTAGGCCCACTCATTGACATTTCTAGTACTGGGAAAATATCCTTGGTTGGCATTTGTAACACTAAACACTATAGAGTTGGTATTTTAAGTACCAGGTAAATATAAATAAACCAATATGAATTGCTGAGACAATCTTGAACCCAGATAGCATTGGAAAGTGGAAAGCCCAATGAAATGACACTTTCACACTTAAACTCTGTGGATAAATCTTGCCTGTGGCTTTAAACAGATGGTCAAAGAAAAAGTGCTTTACTATGATTAACTTTTCTGAGTTGAATGAAGGAAAATGTATTTATTAAAACAAAGCTGTTTGCTGCTTTATGCAGGTGCAGTGTTCAGTCAGCAAGGAAGTGGGAGGAATGGGACGTGGTCTTGTGTTTCCACCCAAGTTCTTAACTAAGCTTCTCGCTCTCTCTAATACTGCATTCTGTTTCTCCTTTTGTGCCCTGATTGTAACCCAAAATTTATGAACTAGAAAAGAATGTCCAATTTAATAAGTTGCATTTTTTTCCTTAAGCACTTTATGCAGAACAATACATGTTCTTCTGGTAGTGTTTGGATAATATGGTTTTAACACATGCTAATAAAAGCCAAGAAAAAAGCATGGCAACTTCTAAAAAGGAGTCTGTTTTCCAAATACCTAGAACATTAGGAAACATTAGAAGATGATGTGTACTGGCTTTCGGAACCTGATATTCTTGGTGAATGAGAGGCTGGGAAGTGACTTTGCATTTCAGAGGGGGAGCCAGCGCCCTAGGGTAACTGCAGCTTCCAGGGGCCTCTGCAGCGGTCTGCGGCCCCCTCTTCCTGGTCTTTACAGGCGGCCACTTCCAGCCACCAGGACTCCCCACTCCGTCCTATGCCACTCCTCCCCTGCCACCACCCACTGGACTCAGGCCCAGAGCTTGTCAAATGACCGTCTGCACAGACGCCCTGCATTTACTGGGCACCGCCTTCTCTTCCCCATCTCTGAAGTGTAGGGGCGCACCTCCTGTCTCTTGGCCTCACTAGAACCGGAGAGAGAACCAAGGGCGCCTGCCCTAGAGCGTGGGGGGAAGATGGTGAGGCGATTCCCCCGCCACAGGGGAAACTTGGAAGCGAGGCCTGGGAAGGGGGGACTGACCCCAGATCCTGCTGGAGAGCCGACGGGGAGGTTCCGGACACCTTGCCACCTGGGATAGGGGCTGGTGCTTTCCCAGTCCTACTCCTTTGCACTGACCTTCCCTGGTTGCTGGGCAGGGAGGTATGTGTCAGTTCCCAGCACGAGGGAAGTTTTGTTCCATGACCTGGCCTCAGGGAAAGTGGAGGGAGCCCCCACCAAGGCCACATTGGGACCCACCAAGCCACCTTCCTCCCTCTCTCCCTGCAGCCCTGGCTGAGTGGAGGGCCTGAGCTAGTCAAGCCGTGTCCTTCACTTCGTGGGGCTAGGCCTGCCCTTCACCCTGTCAGGCGCTCACACCCAGGAGAAGCCTTAACGCCTAAAATGGCACCCATCCTGCAGGCCCAGGGTCTCTGCCAAGGAGTTCCGTCCTCAGACAGTGAGCAGATATTTCAGCCTTCCTCCAGATGGCTGCCAGCTGGGTGTACCCCCAGCAGTTCGTTCAGAGCCACACAGCACTTCTCTTCCTCCCCCTCTGCCCTAGCCCCATTCCTTCCGCCAGGAACCTTCTGGACTCTAAGAAAAGAAGCGCCCTACCGTGCAATAGAAGGAAGGAGCATGTCATCACACCTCCCACCCCAGCCCTATTACCTAGCGTCCCTCCTGCTTTCCCTGTCCCAGCCCTGCCACTCCCAGATGCTTCCTGGGGAGGCTGAAAGGTCATCACAGACACCAGCACACACGGGCCAGTTCCCCCACCTGCTCTTCTCTGTCCCCTGCTTTCAGAGGCCTTGGTCACTCCATTTATCACCTCTCATCTCTCCAGTGATGGGAGTTTGGCCTCCCAGCTTCCGGGGAGACTAGATAGCTGTCAGCTGGGTGTACCCCAAGCAGCTCATTCAGAGCCACACAGCACCTGTGGTGTGGAAGAGCAGGTGTCGGGCCCTATTGCCAGCTCTGAGGTGAACACAGGCCAACCGAGTTCCCGTCTCGAGGCCACTCACAAAGGGAAGAGCACAGCCCCATGGTGGACTATGTGCCTGGGGACCTGGAACAGTAGATTCAACTCTCCTGACGGATTCTGTCAGGGAGGGCTCCACTGGGTGTTTGTCACAGAGGCCTGTCCTGATGCGCTGAGCAGAGTGGGCAGGCATGCTTCCATCTAGAGGTGACACAAGGTCATGGGAAGTGCAGCCACCCACCCGCTGTCACAGGCCACCCGGTGTCCCCGCCTTCTGCAGCCTGACTCATCCTGTCGCCGGTGCCAGCACGGAGGGCCTCATGCTACAGGCTGGGGGAAAGAGTAGTGCATCTGTAAAGGACAGTCTTCTGGGAGCTAACTACTCATTTAAAGAGCTTCTTCAAGTCATAAGCACGAAGCGCCCTGGAGAAAACCAGCAGATGAGAAGGAAATCTCGGCCATTTGCCTCGTGGTGTAGAAGAACACAGCCTTTTCCTCAGTCAGAGAGGAAAGAGTATGCCTGGGCTCAGTGAATTTACAGATAAACCAAAGAGCAAACTGGTGAGAGAGTAGCTGGCATGTTACTATTCACAGGGGTAAAGCTAGTTACTGAAAACCTCCTGTGTCCCATGGAGGGACAGCTAAACCAGGCAGTAGTGAAAGGGGGCGCCACCACTAGGAGTGCTCAGGTTTTAAAATAAGGCTTTAGCCAAAATCAGAAACCAAAGAAATGGGGGAAGGGGGCATCAAGAAAATTAGATGAACCCTGGTTCCAAATGTAACCCCCAAGCATTGCTTTCTGAACATGCCCTGATTCGTGGAGAAGAATCTGGCATATTCCAGGACTACCCTTGTGGCCTGGGTGGGCAGCATGAACATTTAAAGCTGATTTATATCTACCCCCATGTCAGTAAGCCCTGAAGTGTCACATTCAATCTTGTTGGACTATTTTCAAGTCCGTTGTTACCAAGTTAAGCTCTAAGTTCATCCATAACGTAGATTTATTACTGGGAAACACTGTCTTCTGTAACTCAGTATCCCCTGAGATGACACTGTATCACGGCAGAGTTCAAGGACTGATGTCCATTTGTTTTCTAAGATCCCAGAGATGGCCAAAAAAAAGTACATGTTCCGTATTCGTACTGTTTAATAAGGCAGGAAAGTGGATACTGTTATTTTTATTCATGAACGATAACTAAACCAAAAAAGTATTGGTGCTCAAAAGAGGAAGTTTCGGTTCTGGAGGTTTCCTTACGTGCAGCAGATATGGGTGCACTGGCGCTTCACCTCACGGCCTCAGCCTGGTCGCAGGCCGCCTTGTCCACGTCCTCGGGGGAGCACAGCGCCTCACCGGCGCCCTCTCCTTCGGCCTCGAGGCCTGTGGGACAACAGGCATGCTGTAGGACTTCTTACAGCAGCCCTGTCCCCAAACTGTCCACAAAGGAACAGCGGAAAGGGGAAATCTAAGTACATCACAGACGGTGAAGTTAGGGGTCAGGGTGGACGGAGCAGCAGAGAGAGGTCCTAATATGTGTGTTAGGGACTCGGAAAAAATTAGGAGAGCAGGTGACATTGGTTGAGCACTTGATGTGTGTCAGGCCCCAGGCTAAGAGCGTCACCGTGCTTTGTCTCCTTTCATCTTCACAAGAGCCCTCTGAGGAGGAGGAGGATTATGGGGCTATAATGGGCCTCTCATTAGCTCCATTTCACAAATGAGGAAACGGAGGTCCAAAAAGGGAAGTAACTTTCCCGAGGCTATTCCGCTAATAGATAGTGGAGCCAGGATTCAAACCCAGGATCCTGTCTCCAGGGCCCAGAAGAAGTGCTGGGTACGTGGAAAGCACACTCTGCCCCTGACAACTGAGAAGACACAACATACATGTCAGACAAAGGGGCAGAAGAGCACACCCCAACGAGGCGGTGCACTTACTCCCAGGTGCGGTCTAGGCTCAGACCCTTCTGGAATTGTTCCCTTTGTTCATCATCACCTGAGGCCAAAAAGTCAGGCTCACGATCTCCCAACACTCTCCCCGATGGCCCCCCATGAGTGGTGCCCAGCCAGTTCGCTCTCCTCCTTTCCCAGAGTCATGCCTACTTGTTTCCAGTCACCCCCCAAAAGGATGAAGGTGTCACATGACCCTGGACACATAAGGAAACACGTCGTGGGCTCTCCCTGAGGGCAGGCCCCCAAAGGAAAGCTGGTCCTCGCAGTAACACACCAGAGTGAGAGTTCTTCGCACAGAGGATGGCTTTGGAGAACCACCGCCCACACTTAGATGTTCAGACTTGGGTCTCTGGTCCACATAGAGCCACACTTCCCAGGATTTCTCAGCTCCCTAAACTCCATCACACTCCCAGCTTGTCCCTCAGTTGGCAGCAGGCAGCACCAGGATTAAACGAGGGCCAGCAGGGGTCAGCTCCCACCCTTCCTTTCCTCGCCCTCAAACCACCTATTCTTGCTTGATTGGATTCAAATCTTGAAGAGACCATGACGAACATTTCAAACATTTAGGTAAACCGACTGGTTAAAACCCAAACATTTAGGCACACGGAGGTTATTACCGTTTCAGATCTGCAGGCAGACTTCTCCCAAGAATGCCCCCTCTCACATCCTTTGCTTTTCCCAGGATGTTCACCCCCTGGCCCCTTCCACCTCACTTCAGGCTCAACCCAGAGACGTGCAACACGGTGACAGGAGCAGCACAGGCCGTGTCTGGTTCTTCCACTCGTGGAGTGGGGTGAGCCACGTGCACTCCGAGCCCTGTGGGTTTCTCACCCAGATGTGGAGGTGGGGATGACCCAGCATGCTTTTCCCAAAATGTGGGCTCTGAGGGGTATGAGAGCCATCGCAGCGATGGGCAGAGGGCCCTTCTGTGAAACTCTCTGCTTCTCGGCGACCCCACCAAGGGCTTGATGGGGCACGTGGAGCACAGAGAAAGTGAGGGAATGACATCTGGCCTCTGCCATGGAAGTGGGCTTCCAGAAAGTTACATTTTCCGGGTGGTTTCCACAGGAGAATGCAAAGTAACTTTGTAACGAGAGTTTGACTTCAAAGTAAAAATGCAGCCAAAAATGTAATGAAAAAGCAAAACTGTTACTCTGAAAACACAATAGAGCAGAACTGCCGCTAAAGTTATGTAATGGGCCCTGTTTCCCCAGCAGGCCCTTATTAGACGGAGGACTTGGTTACCACATAGTTACTGTCAGTACCCGCCCCCCCTCCCCGCTGCAGATTTAATACAGACCAGATCTGCCTGGATGACTTACCCAGAGGGGCTTCCGGAACCTGGTCTGAAAACTTAAAACTGGGGAAGAGCAGTGCCAGTTCCCGGCGGGCATCTTCCGAGTCCCGGCTTCCATGGACTGCATTAAAGGGCATTTCTGTGCCATACTGAGCCCGGAGACTGGGAGCATGCAAAACGTACAAGAAACGATTGTCTCATTTGAAAAGAAATGTTTTGCTCTCTGGCAACATGGCCACCAGCTACCAATCAGCAGCTGGCATTTCTGTGACATGGCTTTCTCTGCTGGAAACGCCAGGAACAGCAGCAGGGATGATAGTAGCCGCGGTGTTCTGGGCACGTTGCCAGTGCTTAACATACCTGATCTCATTTCATTTGTGCGGCAACCGTGTGAGGGAGACTCTGTCATGATCCCCAGTTTAAATATGCATGAGTTATGGTGTGAGCCCAGGAGCTGCTAGTTTATTGCTGTTACTATGGGGGCTGGGCTAGCACCCTGCCGAGGGCTTGGTACAGGTTGGCATAGTTAATCCCCCAAGGTCCCCTAAGATAATATTGCTAGGACTTCCCGTATGTCAAACAATGTTCTAACTTCTCTCTCTCTCTTTCTCTTTCTGTCTCTCTTCATCTGAGGCAGGTCCTATCCTATTATAGTTCCCATTTTCCAGATGAGGAAATTAAGGCAGAGGGATTAAAGCATGGATGACCCAGGGTCACACAGTTAGTAAGAGGAAGAAGAGAGATTCTAAGGTCGGTGCTCTGAACCACAACACTGTACAGCCTCCCCCGACAGGTGCTCATATCCCCCTTTTATAGATGAGAGAACTGAGGCTCAGAAAACTTAATATCTGAACCCTGGGCTGTCTTTCATCAGCCCAGGCTGCCTCATATATGAATGTTCCCGGCCCCCTACAACTGTTATGTCACAGTAAAAACTGCAGTTACTTAGTCTCTTGCTAATTTCTTTCCTGTTGGTGAGGCCTCTCTCAGCTTCAAAGGCAAGACACAGTGGATTTGGCATTGGTGGTGCCAGGCTAAATATTCACACAGGGCCAGGGAGCAGACCAAGGCAGCCTAGTGCTGTGTGCAGAACAGAGCGCTCAGACTCTAGCGGGCCTCAGGACACCTTGGGTAGGGAGTAGGGGATGGGGGTTGAGGAGGTGAGTCTACACTGCACATTCCTAGGCCTCACCCAGAGTCTCTGACTTGGTAGACCTGGGTGGGGCCCTGGAATCTGTATTTCCTGGGTGAGAGTTGCAGGTGGCTCTGGGACCACACGACGGGACCCTTTGGCTGCAGAGAGAACAGTGAGGACCCAGCTGCAGCCTTCAGAAGAGGGAAAGAGGCAGCAAGGAGGCACCCAGTGAAGAGCTGGGGACTGGATCAGAGGGAGAGGATGTCAGGGTCTCCTCAAATACATAACAGGGAGGTCAGGGACTCCCCTAATGTATGACAAAGAGGGAGCTTCATGGCCATCGGAGAGCCTTCTGTGTTACCCATGGTTCTGGGCTGAACCTCGAGCAGGGCTCTCAGCTTCCTTGGATGCAGGTTCTGAGATGGATGCGAGGACCACAGCTGGTGACATCACCTGTCAGGCTGCTCCCTCCTTGCCACATCGGGGTCACAGGGTCCCATGAGGGTTTGCCAGGCGGTGACCACATCCTCGGTGCCCTCAGTCCTGGTGAGGTTGAGGAGGTGGCTTGGTCCACTGCACATGTGATGTACCAGCTTCTCAAATGCCTCCTGGCACAAGGAGGGAAGACAGTGAGCCGGGGCAGGGGCCCCAGGGCCTGCAGAGGGCCGGCGGGCCCATCCCACACACAGGATGGGAGAGCGTCAGTGAACGGCCTTGCCACCGGCCTGCATGCCGCGGAGGGCCCCGGGGAGGCGGGGGGCCTAACCACACCAAGATAGAAGTTAAAGGCGGGAAGATGAGGCTTTGAGTTGACTCCCTTGGGGTTGAACATGAGATAATAAGTTAGGTGGGAGCATTTAGAAGACCACAGATATGGAAATCATGTGGGTGCTGGATAACCAGGGGATGCGGTTGAGACTGTGCAACCCTTCCCCCTTCTTCAAGTAGCAGTACTCAGGCTTCCTTTGGGGAGAAACTCTTCCCCATTTCACTTGGTCCTAGGCCAGCTGACAACCACAATGCCTATCCACCCCTGCACATACACACCCCCTCACCTGAGAGGTGGAGCCCAGGCTCGCTCACCGATACCCTCCCTCCCAAGTGGGTGAGTCACAAGCAGAAGCAGATGGAAAGTGGTTGGGTCTGAGTCCCCCAACAGCAGAACCCGAAGTGACTGTCCGTGAGGTTTCGCTCCCAAGGGCCCTACCCCGCCTTGGTTCTTCTTCTCCCCACACCTTCTTATGCAACTCCTTCAACTCTCTTCAGTTCTGGGAGTCGTGGAGTGTCCCTCCGATAAATTCCTTATTTCATCCCTTAAGTTGGAGTCAGACTCTCATCCTTGCTACCAAAGAATGTCTCCCTGATGCAGCCCGTAATTATGATTTGGAGACCAAGTTCATGGCTCACTTGCTGTTCATATTCTTGCTGTTCATAATACTCTATTTTCTCCCAAACTAATAGCAATCTATAAACACAATGTTGGAGAAAGAGAAAGAAATGAGAGTGTTTTGGATAAGTGGAAGCAGAGAAGCTGACCTCTCCAGCTCTGTGTTGGTAGAAAAGTCGCATTTCTGCTTCTCTCATGTCTCTCTCTTCATTTGTTAAAATGTCAAACCCAGCTTCCTGGATCTGTAGGAGATATATATATATATATATATATATATATATATATATTCTAAAAGGGTAAAGCAAGCCCAAATTCACATTTCAATGTGTTGAGAGTAAAAGATGATGGAAAAGGCAACATTAAAAGCAGTGGAGACCCTCATCCTCCAATTCGATTTACAAATTGTAAGTTACTTAAATGGAATTTTAATTAAAACTCCTTAGAAGCCTTCTTTCCCCCCGAGGACCCTGCTACACAATGCTCCACCCCTGTTTTTCCACCAGAGGAGACATGAGGATAGTCTGTAAGGTAAGCGTTGTCTCTCTCACCTTTGTGATAATCTCATCCGTCTTCCCATGGACCACCGCATCTGGTTTAATGACTGCCAAGGTGCAGGCCTTCTCTGATGACACTGCAACAAGCTGGCGATGGTGCTGTCAGACGCTGGGCTCTCGGGAGCCCCTCCGCAGGGATGTGCAGCCCCGCACACAGCCCCCGGCTTCCCTCCCCTGGCCTCTTGGCTGTGCTTGTGCAGACCTAGACTCTAGTGGATGCAGGGGTCTGGCTCCAGACCCCAACCTTAGCCTGGCTGCAAGGGACAGAGACATGCAAGGGACATGAACCTGGGAGGGAGGGCGTGGGGAGGGAGGAGAGGATGGGAGATGGGGGAGGAGGTCAAAGACAACTCAGGAACAAAAACCAGAAACAACCAAAAGAGTCGGCTCTTGTCCCTTCCTGTCTGTCACCCTGTCGTGATTCTTGACCTCTAACTGCTGCCGACCGTGTTCTCCTCTCCGTGTGCCTTTTTGCCTTTCCCGGCGTGTGGTCAGTAGTGGCTGCCCCAGGCCCCGAGTTGGCATGACTGGTCAGGGCCAGCACATTCTACCAAACTGCGCCTTCAGTATCCTCTGTCTCTGGTCACACTCTCCTGAGAATTGGCCAGCTCATTGCTTGGAGCCCAGGCACCAGTCATAGATCACCGGCCAGTCTACTGGTGGGCCGTGTCCATAGGTCCAAGCAGCTGTGGGGCTGAGGAAGGTGCCCCGTGGCCACCATCCACCGCTCAGGCCCGCAGACGCCGTGGGGAGCCCTGTGTCTGGGCACAGACCCATCCCTGTCAGACTCCCGTTTGTATGGACTTGGCCTTGGTGAGCTACCTACACTCTCCACAGACTCTATATCCCCCCACGGCCTATTTTCTCTTTTCAACTTCTATATCAGTTGTGTTGTAACATGACAGTATCTGCACCTGAGGAGGGCCTCCTACTTTGAAAAATCTAAAAAATGTGGACTGCAAAGGTGTGAATCATTTTAAGCAAGCCAATTGATTCATTATTCCGTGAGCACTATTTCTAACATCCTGGGAACACTTGGACTTTAAGGGACTCTTACAATAAATCCCCTTATAAATTGACCGATTCATGAGACCGCCTAGAGGTATAGGGTGAGAAGAGAAGAGACCAGGGCTGGGGCCCTGAGAACTCCAGCCTAAAAAGGGAGCAAAAGAAAAGAAGCCAAGGAAGGGGAGGTGGCGGAGAGGCCAGAGAAAACAAGAAGGAAAACGAGAAAGGTCTCGACATCTCAGACACCAGAGGAGAAGAGGGCTTTGAGTAGGAAGACGTTGGGGACGTCGGCCAAGCCCACAGAAGGATGCCATAGGCTATGACGGGAAACCGCCCGCTGGATTTGGCACCAAGAAGGTCACTGGAGCCTTGGGGAGCGGCAAGGGGGCAGGGGCGGAGGAGAGGGTGGCCCAAGGAGTGTGGACCACGTTCAGGAAGCTAGGCTCGGGGGAGAGGAAGGCGAAGGGCAAGGGTAGGCTTTGGGTAGTTTTCTAGGTGGAGAGACCTGATTTGGGAGAAAATAATGGGGAAGGGAAAAAAGAGGTCATCCCAGAAAGAGACAACAAACGTTTCCTGCAGAAGCCAAGTCGCTGATTTCCTTTTCACACTTGGTTTCTTGCTCTCCTAAACTGTGCCTCTTCCCTTGTTAGGATCCAAATCAGAAAGTCCTCGTCATCCACACGTGAATAAGCAGCTTTTCTATTTCAGGGAGTAATCAGAACGTCCTTCTCTCTCCAGCTCGGTTCTTGAGCTGCATCCTGGTCTCCCCTGGTGCCTCAGGGACCGTCAGGAGGCACCTTGCCAACAACAGCCTCTCTAACCTCTGGCTTCTCTTCCCACTGTCAGGTCAAGGCGTTCTTCTCATATTAAAGGTTCAGGAAGAACAGCAATGCTCAGGAGTGTAAAATCCATGAGTTAATACTTGGGGCATAAGTGGAAGAGGGTGCAGGGCTGTGGGGAGGGAAGGGGTTCAGTACAGCTGACTTTCTGACACTTCAGAAAAAAGGCGAAAGAAGCTCAAACTCTTTAGTTCAAATAAGGACTAAGGGAACACCAGCATCATTACTTTACCTTATTAGCGTCACTCCCTCCATCTTACTAAGGGAACCTTTCCTGATGCCCAGAAATTGCCATGAAACTCACAGCTGTTATAACTGAACATGATCAGAAAGCTGGGAAATGTACCCAAGATGCCATTAAAGGGCAGGAGGGACACAACACAGTATGTTTGAAGTCAGGTGATTGGAGACAAAATATTTTATGGGTTATCTTCCCAGAGTTCAGATCGCTCAATAAACTGATTACTCATATATTTTATAAAGACACATCAGGGACTTCCCTGGTGGTCCAGTGGTTGAGACTCCGTGCTTCCAGCAGAGGGGGCGCAGGTTCGATCCATGGCAGGGGAACTGAGGTCCCACATGACGTGCAACGAGGCCAAAAAAAATTAAAAAATAAAAAACACACATCAGGGCTTCCTTGGTGGCGCAGTGGTTAAGAATCCGCCTGCCAATGAAGGGGACACGGGTTCGAGCCCTGGTCAGGGAAGATCCCACATGCCGTGGAGCAACTAAGCTTGTGCACCACAACTACTGAGCCTGAGCTCTAGAGCCTGCGAGCCACAACTACTGAGCCCACGTGCCACAACTACTGAAGCCCGCGTGCCTAGAGCCCGTGCTCCACAACAAGAGAAGCCACCGCAATGAGAAGCCCGCGCACCACAACGGAGAGTAGCCCCTGCTCGCCGCAACTAGAGAAAGCCCGCGCCCAGCAACAAAGACCCAACACAGCCAAAAATAAATTAATTAAAACAAAACAAAACACACCCACATCAAATCCGAGTCTGCTCTGCCTTCTTGCCATGCTTGTTGGTTCTGTACTCACCCGCATCCTCATCGTCACCATCTTCCTTTTCGTGGGAAAAGCATTCATCTTCATCAGAAAGAGCCTCATCTTCAATCTAGCACAAATTGGTCATGGACAGTAAGTAGTTAGCTAATTAAAACTCCACAAAGACCTTCAAAAACCAGCAGAAGCCAAATAGGTAAAGGTCCTAAACGCAGAGCAGAAGAAGAGGGTCAAGATTATCAGCCTTGGGGCTTCCCTGCTGGCGCAGTGGTTGGGAGTCCGCCTGCCGATGCTGGGGACACGGCTTCGTGTCCCGGTCCGGGAAGATCCCACATGCCGCGGAGCGGCTGGGCCCGTGAGCCATGGCCGCTGAGCCTGCGTGTCCGGAGCCTGTGGTCCGCAACGGGAGAGGCCAAAACAGTGAGAGGCCCGCGTACCGCAAAAAAATATATATATATATTATCAGCCTTGGAAACTTTTCAGGAACTTTTTGAGTAGTTGGGTGGTAGGGAGTGGGGGAGGGAGAGCGATTGAGGACCAGGAAATCCATGCTGACCTTAAGGTTTAGAGTCTGCCTGTTTCCACGAGCATCAGGTAGAAACCAAGGAAAAAGAAAGATGAAATAGAGAGTTGTCAAGAAGACAGAGTAAGAATTGAAATGCAAGTAAATAGTAAGCAACTGGCTACACAGTGCAGGTAGTACAGAGAGAGAGATCATTTATCTGTGGAGTAGGTACAAGCGTCTGTGATTTTCTTTCCTGGGGAAAAATTGCCACTTTTCTGGGGAACAAATGGGATTTGATTCCAATCCATTCTATGAAAACAGGGCTTTGCTCTTTGGAACTGAATGTGAAAACGTGAACAGTGAACGCGGAAAAACGTCAAGGCTCCTTTGGCAGCTGCTCGGGGCACCAGGAGATACTTCTTTCTACCTAAGGTGTGTCGGTTTTCAAAGGCTGCCAATTTTTTGTGAAAAACTTGCAGTCCACGTTGTCCTGGAAGTAATTTACCAAAATCACAAGCTGTGCTGATCTTGTTTCTTAAGGTAATGACCCCTTTCTAGTTAAAGAAATGAACCCTCTGGGATCACAAGTCAAACTCAGGAATGAGAAGGGAGGGCAGGTCACCAGGAGAGATTTCCCCCTGAGGCTGACTCCTTGTACCCACTACTGGATTCGGAACTTCATGTCCATTTCTGAATTCGTTGTCAGCGTTCCAGAAACCCTGTTAAGAGATGCAGTGGGGATGAAAGGGAAATGGATAAAAGACGTTAAAGTGTTCTGGATGAAGGGGACGACTTCAAAGATGATTTCCTAGTGGGACTTGCACCCTCCCCTGAGCCCTCAGAGGCCCCCAGCCAGCATGGGCATGTAATGCGGCTTTCCAAGGACAGTGAAGACATTGGAGGGGCAGGGGAGGCACCTGCTGGCCTGGCCTGGGAGACACTCGTGGGCTGGCCGCTTACCACTCTCTGCTCTCTGCCTTCGGCCAGCACAATCTTTTCAGCCTGCAGCTGCTCTCGGATGGTTTTCTGCAGCAGTGGGGCATTTGCTCCTCTAACCAATGCCACCAGCTCCCCTCCCTAGAATACAGCACAGATGTCCTGCTCAGACCACACGATGGGCAACCTCCTTCAAGAGACATGAGGTTCCAAGGGCTTTGTTTACAAGCGTGCCCAAGGTCAAGGTCTGTGGACCCCAGGCCCACAGCCTCCATCCACTTCTCTGCCCCCTACCCCAGGCCCCTCCCTTCAAAACTTCCTTCAGGACAGCGGGGAGTTAGGTGGGGGAGGACCAGGGCGCACTGGGTTGTGAGTGACTAAGTGTGGCCTCTCCTTGACTCCTTCACCCAACAAGTATCAGCTGAGCACTTACTATGCCAACACCAAGACAGACACAGAGAACAGAAACACTAAACGTGAAAAGACATAGCTGCCACCCTCAGTGAGTGGGGTGTCAAGTGGGGAGAGAGTGGTCGTGTCAGAGAAACAGTTGCAGTAGAATAAGAACATTGCTTTCATGGGGTACTTGGGATTTGGGGCAAGAATTGATCCCCAGCTCCATCTGGGGTGGTCAGGGAAGACCTCACAGTGGAGGTGGTGTTCCCGGTGAACCCGAGTTCACCGCCTTCGCTTTTTCAGAAGTCTCCCTGCCCGTCACTCATGGAAGTTCACGTGCACGGGGTCCTCCTTCTGTTTCCATCCCGCCCTCAGAGGACGGCCGCTGTGTGACTGTGCTGAGCTGCTGCACACTCCCACACGGCCAGTTATGATTTATGCTTTAATCCCGCACGCTCCGGGCTCGAGCAAGGAGACCACTGCAGTAAGGATCCCATTTCTGCAACTGAGCTCTGATGCCAGTTTGGCGGAGGGCACTTTCATCTCAGTGCTTCCCACCCCTGCTCCCTCCCCCACCAGGTTTCTTCGTAAAACCTCAGTCTCCCTCGAGAAAGCCGAAGCTCAAATAATGTTTCACCATAAGCTTCCAACTTGTAATACTTGCAGTGCCAAGGGCAGGAGCCCAAAGTTTTCCAAACTAAACAACTCTGGCCCCGGTTGGCAGATCCCAGTTTCCCTGACTGTGCTATGAGGGGCTGGACCGGGTCAGGAGGAGAATATCAATCCACTGTCTTCAGGGCCTGGCAGGTGACCTAAAACCAGGAAGCCAGGTGTGAGACAGCGGGGGGCCTTCAGGGGCCTGGAGCCCCCTGTGGATGTCACAGCCGAAGGCAGCCAGATGACGTTTCAAATGCTGAACCACTGGCCGTCATCAATCACCCCTCTCATTTCTGACTTTGTATCAACATATCTTCACATTTTACAATGAAACGAAGGTGAATACAAAGCTTGTCTACCCCACGAGGGAGCGTTCATGTTTGCTGAAAAGTCCCCTCTGCGGAGGTCTCCAAACTCTGCCCTGAGAGCGAGACCTCAGTCAAGAGGTTCACTAGGGACTTCCCTGGTGGCACAATGGTTAAGAATCCACTTGCCAATGCAGGGGACACAGGTTCGATCCCTAGTCCCGGGAAGATCCCACATGCCACGGAGCAGCTAAGCCTGTGCGCCACAACTACTGAGCCCACGTGCCACGACTACGGAGCCCACGTGCCACAACTACTGAAGCCCGAGTGCCTAGAGCCCGTGCTCTACAACAAGAGAAGCCACTGCAGTGAGAAGCCCGCGCAGCACAATGAAGAGTAGTCCCTGCTCGCCGCAACTAGAGAAAGCCTGTGCGCAGCAACAAAGACCCAACGCAGCCAAAAACAAACAAACAAATAAAATAAGAGGTTCACGAACCAGAAAGAGCACAGGCCTCTGAGTGAGTCCTGCTCTGTCCCGGGTACTGCCCTCATGAAGGCCCCAAGCCCAGAATGACTGCCCAGAGCTCCGCCCATGAGCAATGCCATGATTAAGGGCATCTGTCCTCGGCCAAAATAATAGAGTCAGGGAGGAAACAGCATTCACTCGCTGGGAGCAGTGTGGCCTCTTGGTGAGAGGCGTCCATCTGAACCCTTGTGATGTGCAGCCGTGGAACAGTTCTGGACTGAAAATGTACTTACTGCATAAAACAGAAAGGTCGGCTCGCACCTCCCTCTGTATTTTTCGAGGACATCAAGACAGTCTGCCTCTGCCTAAAGGAAACAGGCTGTCAGCAGGGCGGGTGCAGGGACAGGATGGCAGGAGAACCGTGCGGGACACACACACCACACCCCCCATACAGAGCACATACACATCCATATTGCATGCACACCACACACACACACACACACACACCAAACGCACATACTCCTCATCCCCCACATACCACACACTGCATACATACCACACACACATATACATACCACATATATATACCACACACACATATACATACCACACACATATACACACCATGCACACATACATAACATATACATATCACACACATATACATATCACACACATATACATACCACACACACATATACATACCATACACATATACATAACATATACGTACCACACACACATATACATACCACACACACATACTACCAGCACATACATCCTGCTACACATGCACGTGCATACGTTACGCATAATATACACACATCACACACACATATCACATCCTCCCACACACCACATACACACACACCACACACGTGCACGCACATACATCACACAGTGACTGCCCTCCCCAGCTGGAGCCCTGGCTTGCTCTCTCTCACGCTCCTTCTTCTAATGCCTTTCATCAGAATCTTAACAACGGTCAACATACTGGTAAAAAGTGTTGCCAGTGTAGTTTTCTGAGGAATAAAATAAGGAGGATGTGACAGTTTGTCCTGCTCCGGATCAAGGGAGCTCCACCACTAACATTCCACATCTGCCCTGAGTGGCAACAACAGAGGAAGGTCCTCAGCTCACCTCCGGGTCTGATAAAGCTCCCCATCCAGACCCCTCCTCCGCTCACTCCACAGAAGCCTCACAACCCACTCCCACGGGAGGAGTGCAAGCCCTGGGAGCCCAGCTTCTCAAGAGTTAACGTAAGGGAGAGTCTCGCTTGTGTTCACCGTCTCTGAGCCTCAACCCATGCAGCTCATCCAGTGTCTCTTGCATGCTTCTCTGGAAGTGATTCCCATTTCCATACACTGACCTGAGTAAACTTTACCTGAGTAAAGTTCCCCTTTAAGGAGCAAGGATAGAAATCTTAAACCCTGTGCTCTGGAAGTGAAACTTCAGGGTTCACAGTGGACACGAGCCAAGAGGGAGTGTTGGCCTTAAAGTGGCCGCACGCCTTCCCGGCTCTGGCATCAGGGGCAGCTGAGCCCACAGGGACTGTCAAGAGGCAGGGTCGGGGGGAGGCTTCCTCCCTAGAGAAACTGGTATCAGCAAAACAATCCACAACGGATGCCTTGTCAATTATCTGAAAAAGGCCCCTCAAACTTCCTGTTCCTGTTTTAAATTTTTTAAGTTTTTTACAAGTTGTGTGATATTGTGCTGAGAGAGGACCTTACTAATGCAAAATGCAGAAGGTCCAGGCCGACCTCGATCCTCATCTTCTGGAAGAGGCTCACCACGGGCTTGCAGGGGCCGCACCAGCCTTGGTAGACGTCGACAACTGCGTGGAACCAAGAAGCAGGAGCGCTCAGCAGGTACCAGCGCCCCGCACGTCAGGCAAAATTGATGCCTGCACATTCCAACCCCCTCCGATGGACATCTATTTGCAGGGATATTTATTTCGTGGTTAAAGGGATTTATTATCCCAGCAGAGTATGAGCGAGTGTGGCAACACAGCTTTCCTTCATGAACTCAGTGTTCCGAATTCTAAACACAATGAAGTGAGTGTGGTGGAAAATCACTTACTTAACATGGATCCTTTGCCTTAAGGGACTTTCAGCTACATTCAGGGTCAGGCCTAGCACAGAGAAGCCCTCAGTACATATTTGAAATAGACTGAAACTATCTCTTCTAAAAGGAAGAGGTCACTGTAGGTGACCTATCAGGATGCAACCAACTCTTAGCTACTTTGGTAATAAACATAGCATTAACCTTTCCTCCTGATGCATTGGAAGCCACTTGCTTTGGTTAAAGGAGAGTTTTATCTTTAAAACTTCACTTTATCAAATCAACATTATTCTCCTGGAAAGTGAACCTGAGAGAGACCTAGGTGGAAACTGGGGTGCATTTTTCTGCTTTGGTCCCAGTCTCTGGAGTGTGGTGGGACTGGGTGTGAAGGACCCTCCTGTCTGATTGCACTAGACCCCGAGGCCTGTAAGAGGCTAAGCAGCGAAGCCAACTCATGTGCACCGGATATGCACCAGACCTGCCCAGCCCAGTCAGACGCAGCAAGTAAGTGCTAGATGGTGATGGACCGGTGGTCACATTTTAAGGAAGGATGTCTTCCTAAAGACCTCAGCACTCAGAGCTCATGTCTGATCCACACAGGGGGTGTTCCTGTTCTGCAGTTAGAGTGCATCCTCATGGGGTCAGAGTGTGGACACTGCTTATAAACTACCAGCCCTGCCAGTTTTAATAGCATGCAATTTGCGATTTTACTCTCTGAAGATTCACATTTCAAAATTTTCACATCACATGAGAACTGTTAATAAACCATGATATAAATTACCTTTTTTTTTTTTTTTTTTTTTTGGCCATGTCACACAGCTTGCGGGATCTTAGTTCCCCAATCAGAAATTGAACCCAGGTCCTCAGCAGTGAAAGATCAGAGTCCTAACCACTGTACCACCAGGGAATTCCCTAAATTATCATTATTAAAATTAGCATAGACTCTGGCAGCACTGTCTTAACGCTGTACTGTAGGACTCAGGGGAGGAGGCTTCGCAGTGGAGAGGCGACTTGCATTGGGCATTGTGGAAATGCCAGGCTTGGACGGGCAGAGAGGGAGGCCATGGTGGGAAGCATGGTGGGGGAGTCCAGGGGCCGCTGCGGTTGGGTTGATCAGTGGTGGCAGAGATCACTGGAGGAGTGGGGAATGTGGGTTTGAGGAGTTCCATCCTGATTTACTAGGCAACGAGGGTTCACAGTAAGTTTTAGAAAGGAGAGAGAGTTAATATTTACTGAGCTATGAGAGAGCATCTGCACTTTGCTTTTCTCTCAAAAAATCCAGCAAGATAGTATCATTATCCTACCATAGAAATGAGGAATGAAATAACCAACCCAAGGTAAAAAAATAAATAAATAAAAATTCTCAAGCAGTAGACCCGAGTTTTGGACCCAGGTTTGTCTGATGCCACAGCCCGGGCTTTTTCAATGACTCCAGGAAAGAAGATGCATGAATTCAACAGTATGGGTTAGTTCAGCCAAGCAACATAGTTTTGCAGAGAAAGTGAGAGCCAGGCTGGCTTTAAGAGGGACGAGGAAGCCAGACACAGGGGTGGCTGTGTTGAGGGAGGGGAGAAACGAAGGAATCCCTGAGACTTTAAAAATGTAGTGGAAAGACTGGGGGTGGCAGTCCTGTGGGTGTGAGAAGGACCACCTTTGAGCCCGGCAGAGAGAAAGCACTGGGTGGAGGCAGGGAGAGAGCATCTGGGGAGGGAGGAGAGTGAACTAGATTCCAGACACATTGCATTTCCAGTACCGACCAGAGAGTCTAGGGCAAATAGCCCCAAAGTCAGCCAGACAACAGCAGAGGCCAGAGAGAAGGATCTGGTCCTCCTCAACATCCAGGCGGAGGATAAAGCTTCTTTGAGGCTCCTTTGAGGACAACAGCTTCACAGTTGAGGGATTTGGAGATTTCAATAGACCACAGGAATGGGAGAGAAAGGCATTTGGGTGACTCCAGGAAAAAATCCTTGAAGAATTAGGATTCTGTATCCAGGCCCACCAAGGAGAACAGGTTCAAGCCCCAGCAGGAAAAAATTGGGACCCAATTAGCTGCCAATCTCTATGCAGGGTTTGCATTGCTAGGTCAGCCTAGTCATTTGTACCAGCTTCCCATCTCCTCTTGCACTCCCTGGCTCTACGAGGAGTGGTGGTGACAAAGGCACACTTCCCACGATTGTGGGAGAGAGGTGGCTGCGGACGGGAGAGGAAGTTATGAAGAGATTGACTCTGAAAGGCAGGAAGCAGAAAGAGAAGCAAGGAAAGGAATGGCAGAGAAAATGAAAAGCGGGGTGTGTGTGTAAATCTGAATAGACTTTCGCATGTTTGAAGGCAGATGGAAGTGAGCCAGCAGAAGACCAGAGTTCCAAGATGGTGGCTGACCTTGGAAGCAAATCTCTGCTGGTTCTAGAAAGAGGGAGGAGCCTGAGTTCCTGGCGACTGCTTGATGAAGTGGGGCAGACGAGCCTCCGCTGCCTTAGGTCCACACAGTTCCCTCGTGTCGTGCTTCGAGCAGGACTCGACAAAGTCCACGCTCAATAGATTAGGGTGCATGGAACGTGGCACGTCCTCCAAAAATGAGGAGCTGGTGGCTTTCTTACTGTTGTTAAAGAAATAGAAGTCATGGTGGTTTTGCCCTGGAGCCATGTTCCAGTTGCACACAAGGCACATGGACAACATAGTTAAGACCTGGCACCATCAACAAAGCCTTGTAATCCCTCAAGTAGTAGAGTGTGGCCAGACTCACACCCACATCCTGGATCAATGGAAACGCATTTATTAAGAACCCACTCGGCCCGGGCCTGGACACGTCTGCTCCTGATGGAAATGAAAAAGACAATGGCCCTGTGCTAGAGTCTGGGGGAAGGCATGGAATGCCTACCTTCACAGGGGCCACACCAGGTTGGGTGTGTGCTGGGGGTTGAGACAGAGACACCAGGCGGAAGTGACCGCACAGAGGTTCAGGAAAGATTTCATGCAAGGAGGCTGCTTTAGAACTGCCTGGGGATGAGAAAGGTTTCTACAGGTTGTAGAGGGGTCATGATATTTCAGGTAGTAGGAACAACATGGATACAAGTGAAGAAATGGGGAAACTTGTGGCAAGTTCGGGAAACAGGTTGGAGCCGAGGACAAACCTCAGGGGACAGTGGGTGAAGGGGCTGGAGGGATGGGGGAGGGGGGCTTGAGTGCTGAAGTCGTGGGTGCAGGGGCGGCGATGGAGAGAGATGAGAGCAGATACCAGCTGACCGAGCGTATTTATTTATAGAGAGAACTGAGCAGACACAGAAATGGAGCCCAGAGATCTCTAGAGGAAAAGAAGCAGAGAAAGGAAGAGCTGGGGAGCAGCTGTGCTGGGCAGCCTCTAAGATGCCGCCAGTGAGCCCTGCCTCCTGGAATTCAAGCCTTTGTGTGATCCTCTGCCTCCACCCAGGGCGAACAGAACAGGGCAAAAACAATGGGATGTTACTTTTTTTTTTTTTTTTTTTTGGCAGTACGCGGGCCTCTCACTGTTGCGGCCTCTCCCATTGCGGAGCACAGGCTCCGGATGCGCAGGCTCAGCGGCCATGGCTCACGGGCCCAGCCGCTCCGCGGCATGTGGGATCTTCCCGGACCGGGGCACGAACCCGTGTCCCCTGCATCGGCAGGCGGTCTCTCAACCACTGTGCCACCAGGGGTGTTACTTTTGAGATTAGGTTACAAAAAGGCTGGGACTTTCGTATCTCTCTCTCTTTTCCTCCCTCCCTGAGCCCTGCTTTGGGGGGAGAAAGAAGCTACCATGTTGTGAGCAGCCTTGTGGAGAAATTGCTGACAAGAAACTGATGTCTCTGGTAAACAGCTAGCAAGGACCTAGGTCCTGCCAATGGCCACAGGAATGGGCTTGGAAGTGACCTTCTAAGATCTGCCAAAGCCAAATGACTGAGCATGGAAGTAAATCTGACTCAGTTGAGCCTTGACATTCTCTGTGTGACTCTTTAGCTGCAGCCTTGTGAGAGACTCCAAGTCAAAGGCACCCAGCTAAGCAACCCCTGGATTCTGGATCCACAGAAACCGTGGGATAATACATGTTTCGTGTTATAAGGCACTACGTTTGGGGGTAAATTGTTGCTCAGCAATAGATAATTGATACAAGGATGACAGTGACAAGGAGGCCCAGTGACAGTGGCTTTGCTGTTTCCTAATGACTGTGCAGCCCCTGGTTCCACTTGCTTGGGTTGCCTGTCTCTCCTTCCAGCACTTGAGTTCTGAGAGATCCCGTATTCCTTTCAGTACCTTCCCCTTTTGTGCCTCAGGTAATTAGAAGAGGTTTCCGTTGCTTAACACCAAACAAGCCCTGAGTATGGCTAACCATAATCTAAAAGAAGGGAACCCTGCTATCCGGCAGTACTGACTAGTTTCCTGAACTGAACTCACAGATGTTCAAGTCAGATATGTATTTAAACACAAAGAAATTACCTGGTTCTTTATTTATGAAACTCGAGGTTTTGGGAAAATGATGCTCTTTGCAGTTTTCTCTTCATGGTTCAATATGTCATTTGGCAATTTTGAAAAGGATGGGTCTAAAAAATTATCTTAAATTACCAGTTAGTCCTTTGGAACTGAGCATTTCCTCCCAAAGTTCCTGGGTACTGATGTTGACCTAGCATCAAAGAGAAACAAATGCTGTATTACTGAGGGTGCTGATGGGGAGACAATTTTATGTATTCATTTGCTCCAGGTATCTACCTATTGTTCTCTCTCGCTCTTGTTCTCTCTCTCAATGAAATACTTTACAAATACAGCTCAAGTTGTCATCTTTCCCCAATCCTCTCTTCTCTTTTTTCTCTCCTCCTGCCTCCACCCCCAAGAATAACCACTATCCTAGGAAAATCTCATTTAAAAATTTTTTTAACTTGTTACTTGTCCAAAAACACTATATAAAATTGTTTCGTGTCCCTAAATATGCATAAATGGTACCATACTGAAGATATCCTTTTTCAATTTGTGTTTTTACTCAACATTAAATTTTTTTTAATTAATTTATTTTTATTTTTGGCTGCATTGGGTCCTCGCCGCTGCGCACGGGCCCCCTCCAGCCACGGCGCGTGGGCTTCTCACTGCAGTGGCCTCTCCCGCCGCGGAGCACGGGCTCCAAGCGCGCGGGCCTCAGTAGCCGTGGCTCGCGGGCTCTAGAGTGCAGGCTCAGCAGTTGTGGTACACGGGCACAGCCGCTCCACGGCACGTGGGATCTCCCTGGACCAGGGCCCGAACCCGTGTCCCCAGCGTCGGCAGGCAGGTTCCCAACCACTGCGCCACCGGCGAAGCCCAACATTAAATTCTGACATTTATCTGTATCTATGTACAGAGAGATACTCTTTTTTTTTTTGTCTTTTTATACGTTTTATCGAGCTATAAATTATGTATAATGAGATACACAGAACTAAATTGCTACGAATCAATGAGTTTTGACAAATGCACACATCCAGGTAACCACAATCCTATCACAATACAGGACATTCCATCTCCCAGAAAGTTCCCTCCTTTCTCCTCCCAGTCACTCCACAGTCCTCATCCCAGGGAAACACTCATCTGCTTTCCGTCATAATAAGTTCATTCTGGGCTTCCCTGGTGGCGCAGTGGTTGAGAGTCCGCCTGCTGATGCAGGGGACACGGGTTCGTGCCCCAGTCCGGGAAGATCCCACATGTCGCGGAGCGGCTGGGCCCGTGAGCCATGGCCGCTGAGCCTGCGCATCCGGAGCCTGTGCTCCGCAATGGGAGAGGCCACAGCCGTGAGAGGCCCACGTACAGCAAAAAGGTCATTTTGCCTATTGTAGAACTTCATATAAGTGAGATAGTACAGCATGTCTCATTTTGCACTGGCCTCTTTGGCTCAGCATATTTGGGGGTTCACCTGTGTAGTTGTGTGTCAGTGGTTTGTTCATTTTTATTCCTGAGCATGTTCCATTGTATGACAACATCACAAACTGCTTGATAGAGAGTTTGGAGCTCTCATGAATAAAGACTTAGGAACATTCTTGTTAAATCTTTTTGTGTTTCTGTTCTCATTTGTCTTTGGTAGGTAAATACCTAGGAATTAAATTGCTGGGACATAGGGTAAGTAGATATTCAGTTTAATAGGAAACTGCCAGTGTTTTTCCTAAAATGCTTGAACCATTTTAAACTTCTATCAGCAAAGTATAAGAGCTCTGGCTGCTCCACATTCTCACCAAAATTTAGCCACGCTAATGGTGATGTAGTGGTATCTCAATGTGGCTTTCATTTCTTTTCCCTGATGACTAATGGTATTGAGCACTCTTTCATGGGCTTATCAGTCATTTGTATATCTTCTTTGAGAAGTGTCCATTGATCTGTCCATTTTCTTAAATTGGATTGTTGACCAATTTAAAGTATATTATTAGATTATATATACTTTTGGTGGGGGACAAGTTCTTGTCAGAAATATGCATTATAAAAAATTTCTCTCCAAGTTTGAGGTTGGCCTATTAATTTCCTGAACAGTTTTTGTTGAGCAGAAGTTTTTAATATTGATGAAGTCAAATGGATCAAATTTTAGTTTTATGGTTAAGGCTACTATGTCCTTCTTAGGAAACCTTTCCTCAAAGTCATAAAGATGCTCTCCTATTTTCTTCTGGAAGCTTTATAATTTAGGCTTTCACATTTAAGCCTGTGAGCCATGTGAAATTAATTTTTGTCTACGTTGTGAGGGAAGGATTGGGGTTAATGTTTTTTTCATGTGTAGGTATAGTTGTTTCTGCAAAAGTTGCTGAAAAAAATTTATTTCCCTATTAACTTCCTTTGTTGAAAACCAATTGATTGCATAAGTATGGGTTTATTTTGGACTCTACTCTGTTTTATTGACCTATTTATTCTTATGCCAGTACTATACTATTTTGATTACTGTAGCTTTATGATAAGTCTTGGAATCAGGCCGTGTAAGGCTTCCATATGTGTTTTTCTTTTTCAAGATTGTTTTGGCTATTCTAGCTCCTTTACATTTTCAGATACATTTCAAAACCAGCTTGTCAATTTCTGCAATTATTTTAATTGGGATTGCATTGAATCTATGGATCGATTTGGGATAAAACTGAAATCTTAACAAGACTGAGTCTTCCAGTACATGAACATAATGTTTCTTAACACTTATTAAATAGTCCTTAATTTTTCACAGCAACGTTTCATAGTTTTTGGTGTGTATGTTTTGCACATCTTTTGTTAAATATATCCCAACATCTACATCCTAAGTAATTAACAGCTGCGTTTATTGCCATTTCTTCACATTTTTCTCTTATCTACCTACAAAGTATTTTGGTTTATATCAGAAATGAGAATCAAAGAAATACATATTATAAATAGTACATTATTAATAGTGTACATTTTTGTATAATGTTTTTATTTGGAAATAATTTCAAACTTACAGAAAATTTGCAAGTACAGTGTAAATAACCTTTTCTTGAACTATTTGAAAGTAAATTACTAACCTGATTTCCTTTTATCCCCGAACACATTATTCAACATAACCACAGTACAATCATCAAAGTCAAGAAATAAACACTGATATATTATTACCGTCTAATCCCCAGACCCCATTTAAGTTTTACCAATCATCCCAATAATGTCCTGAATAGCAAAGGATCTAAACAGAATCATGTGCTGGATTTATTTGTCAAGTCTCTTTAGTCTGTCTTAGTCTGTAACAGTTCTTCAGCTGTTCTTTGATTTTCATGACCTAATACTTGTGAAGACTACAGGAGGGTTATTTTGTAGAATGCCCCTCAGTTTGGGTGTGTTTGGTGTTTCCTCCTGATTAGAAGCAGGCTGTGCGTCTTTGGATTGGTTGGAATGGTTGAATATGTTAGAACTGATTGGATTAGTTGGAACTGATTGGGATTAGTTGACACTAGTTGCATTGGTTGGAATTAGTTGGATTGGTTAGAGCTGGTTGGATTAGTTGGACCTGGTTGGATTGTCTGGAATTAGTTGGATTGGTTAGAACTGGTTGGGATTGGTCGGAACTCGTTGGCTTGGTTGGAACTGGTTGGATTGGTTGGAATTAGTTGGATTAGTTGGAACTGGCTGGATTAGTTGGAATTGGTTGGATCGGAATTAGTTGGATCAGTTGGAACTGGTTGGATCAGTTGGATTGCTTGGAATTAGTTGGATTGGTTGGAACTGGTTGGATTAGTTGGAACTGGTTGGATTGGCTGGAATTAGTTGGATTGGTTAGAGCTGGTTGGAATTGGTCAGAACTGGTTGGATTAGCTGGAACTAGTTGGATTGGTTGGAGTGTCAGAATCAGAAGAACGTTCTCTCATTGCATCCTCTCAGGTGACACACACTGTTGACCTGCCCCCATACTGATGATGTTCACTTTGATCACTTGATTAAGGTGGTCTGTCAGACTTCTGCACTGTGAAATTATTCTCTTTCCCTTTGTAATTAATAAGGTTTTGTGGAGAGCTGCTTCGAAAAAATATAAATTAAAAGACCATGACAATTACCGCTCATTGTTAACACAGGTATGCTAAGGTGTTTGTCTCTTTAAAAGGGCCGGAAACATGTAACATCTGCAAATCCTCTATTAAAGATCCATCTTTCTAAATAATTCATGCTTCCATACATTTTTTGTTTCTATGAAAAAAAAAAGAAAGAAAAAACAGGAAAGTCTTCATGATGCCTTACATGCCGTAAGAGAGTTGGACTGGCGTCACCCTGAGCCCACAACTATAGTCCTAAGGAAAATGATAGAACTCAGGAGTCCTCGCCCTCTCTCTCATAACAGTCACTCTCAGAGGCTCAGCTGTCGGTCAGTGGCAACTCTCTGTGGTGCACCCCCATCATGGACTGAGCCACACCAGGGCCAGGACTCTGGACAGCTGAAGAACCTCACTCCTAGGAGCAGCACAGGAACAGAGAGGTATGGGAAATACCTGGACCTCAAGAAGTCCTACACGAGGTAGAGAATGAATGGCGAATGTGTGGCACCCACCTTTTGACCACACTGTCTCTTGATATCCTGCAATTCCTGTCTTAGTCACAGAAGGAGCCCTAAATAGTCTTACCCAGAGAGAGAACAGGGTTCCTGGGTTGGCAGACCCTAGAGCACTGCTTTCAAGGAGTTGACCTGGTAGACAGGCAACGCTTACACAGATGCCTCAGTGCATAGCCACCCCGACCTCAGCAAATGGGAGCACTTCCTTTGAGGACCGCAGGGAACTCAGAGCTCTGGGGAATACGCGTGGAAAAAGAATTGGTGAAAAATGCTATTACTCTCAAAGGGGATATAAGGTATAGACACAAGAAAAGACAGTCGTATGGGGCAAAAATCTTAGAGCCACGACAGACAGCATTCAGACCAGCCTGGAAATGTCTAAAGGAGTCTCATCATAACAACTCTGCTGGTTATGTATTATCCGTCCTGTTTACATAAAGAGCATGGAGGCTCAGAGAGGTTGAGGAAATCATTCACAGCAATAAGTGGTAGGACCAGGTGCTTAGAATTGATTCACAGACAGAATACAGACAGAGGAAAAGTTTTATAACTCTAGAGTACTAGAATATCAATGCTGGAAGGCCCTTAGGTATAATTCACCCAACATCCTCATTCCACAGATGAGCAAGCTATAGCCCAGAGAGGTTATGTGATTTATCCAAAGTCCCAGAGCTGGCTAAGAGAAGAGGTAAGAACTACATCAAGTCTTCGACTTCCAGTCCGAAGATCTTCCCTTCCCCCCCCCACCCCGCCCCCTGCACACTGTCCTCAGCCTGACATTGCTTTCTCCCTTTTAAAAATCACTAGGCTTTTGAAATTCACATGTAAAGTGGTGGTGCCACAGAGAACAATAAAGGAGAAATCAGATGACTCAAGACCACTGCCGCTCTTCTCTCCAAGAAGTGCCTAGAGCCTGAGCACGTACCCTGATGGACTGAACTGACTATGAGACATTTTAAAGTGTGCTTTCAAAGGTATCCATATTATACATCATCCACATGATCTTATCTTATAAAGCCCTCCCTTCCACTGCCAGGACCCATGCCTGCATCACTTTAGAATCAACCACCACTTACTGTCCAGGACCAGGGAATAAAAGAACAGACCCTGGCTTATGGAGTCACTTATCACAGGCACAAACGAAGTAAGGCACTCTATAATGAAAGTGTAGCGCACAGAATATCAAAACATATTTTTTGAATAAGCGAATGATTTTACAGAGTAGTGGTGTGAGAACTGGGTCTGCAGAGAGGGCATAGTTACAGACACATGGCCAAACTTAAAAGAACCGATACCATATTCTCTCAGCAAGCCACAATTATACTTCAACAAAAAAAGATGTCAACGTCGAATTATACTGATTCATATTTTCTTGTTTTTTTAGTTTTACGTTAATTCACGTTTGAGTTTTATGGTTGCATAAGCACTATAAACATAAACAGCTTCCACCCAAGTTTATGTGTGTTTATATTTAAGCGCACAAAAAATTTGTCATCACTAGAGATCCAAGATAAGGTTTTCTTTTTCCCTTTAAGATGGAAGGTACAATATTCAAGTTTGAGAACGCTGTCTGTCACATACTACTGGCAAACAATATCTTTTTTTTTTTTTTTGCGGTACGCGGGCCTCTCACTGTTGTGGCCTCTCCCGTTGCGGAGCACAGACTCCAGACGCGCAGGCTCAGCGGCCATGGCTCACGGGCCCAGCCGCTCCGGGGCATGCGGGATCTTCCCAGACCGGGGCACGAACCCGTGTCCCCTGCATCGGCAGGTGGACTCTCAACCACTAGGCCACCAGAGAAGCCCACAATATCGTTTTTATACTCCACTTCCCGCTCCACACCATCCTCCTCGCCCCCCAACCCCAGTCAAGTGCTGGAAGGAAGCTCCTCTTTGAGGCTTACCTGCAGGGCCATTTCCTTCTTGCTCCCCATGGCACTGCAAAGAAGACAGAAGCTCTGTTACTGACAAAACGCTGCGCTGATCAGCAAGCCGAGACCCTCCCTCAGACAAAGCCCCCCCCCCCGCCCCTTTAAGTTAGAGTGGCAGCAAATAAACGCAATGATGCAAAATGAACACCCCACGGGAGAAGCAGAGCTTGCGGCCCGCGGGCTCATGGCTCGCCGGAAGATTTTCTGCGGATTTGCGGAGCCCCTTTCCCGCCCCGGAGCTGGCCAAGGGGTACGCGCAGAGGCCAGAGTACGGGCTCCCGGGCCACGCAGCCCGTCAGGTATCCGAGCGCCTGCCGAGGAATTCGGATGGAAAAAGTCTACAGAACCCTGCTGTTCCAATTTATTCCTGGGAAACTGAGTCACTGCAAACAGATACACCGTCTTCGACCTGCAGCGAGAGTTTCCAACAAAATTTGCAGCGACACAGCCACGGTCGTCATGGCAACACAGCGCAGGCCTAAGGCGGCCAAGAAATAAACAGGAGTACACATAAGCCACGCCTACTCTGAGCCCAGCGGAAAGGCAGGAGGGTGTCCCGCCCCTTGCTGTCAGAATTGGACTGTAGGAACACTTTCATTGGCTAAAGAGTTTGTCCCTGTCTGGGACGTATGAACCCACCAAGCAAAGACCCGGTGCATCCATGTACTGTAGAGTTGCATCCTCGAATCCCTGCATCCCTTCTGTCCCACCAGGACTGGCATGCAGCTTTTCTATTGCTACTTAATACATGCCGGGCAGGGGTGGCTCCAGGTTTTGAGGGTCGGAAGAGGTTCCCTTTAAGACAAAGAATACAAAATTACAAATTCAAAATTAAGTATGAAAGTCAAGTGGAGCAAATAGAAAACAAGTACAAACCTGGTGTAAATGATCTACACCAATTAAAAGACGGAAATTGTCAATGGATAAAACAACAAGGCCCAACTGTATGTTGTCTACAAGAAATCCACTTTAAATATAAAGACACAGGTTTAAAAGTTTAAAAAAAAAGACACTTAAAAGTAAAGTAAAGGGGTGGAGAAAGCTATGCCATGCTAACACTAATCAAAAGAAAGCTGGAGTAGCTGTATTAATTTCAGACAAAGCAGATTTCAGAACAAGGAAATGTATCAGGGATAAAGAGAGGGCACTACATAATGTTAAAGGGATCAGTTCTCCAGGAAGACATAACAATACTTACTGTGTATGCACCTAACACCAGAGCATCCAAATACGAGGCAAAAACTGTTTGAACTGCCAAGAAAAAAATAGATAAACCCACTATTATAATTGAAGACTTCAACACCACATCTTTAGGAATGAGTAGATCCAGCAGGCAGATAATGAGCAAGGATATAGTTGAACTGAGCAAACAACATCAGCCAACCTGATCTAATTGACATCTATACAATACTTCCTCTGAACAGCAGAATACAGATTCTTCTCAAGTTCACATGGAACATTCACCAAGATAGGCCACATGCCACGTCATAAAAATACCCTAACAAATTTAAAAGAATAGAAATCATACAGAGTATGTCCTCAGACCACAATGGAATTAAACCAGAAATCAATAATAGCTGGTGAAAGACATCTAAAAGATTTATATAAATGGAGAGATATTCCATGTTTGTGGAGAGGAAGAATCAATATTTTTAGATGTGATCTATAGATTAAACACAGTTTCAGTCAAAATCCCAGCAAGCTATTTTGTAGATAACAACAAACTAATTCTAGATTTTATATGAAAAGATAAGAGACAAAGAATAGTCAACATAACAGTGAAGAATAACAAAGTTGGAGAACTGACACTATTGGACTTCGAGACTTACCATTAAGCTACAATAAGCAAGACAGCATTTTAGTGAAAGAATAGATACATAGATCAATGGAATAGAATAAAAAGTGCAGAAAAAGACCTGTACAAATGTAGTCAACTGATCTTTGACAAAGGGGTAAAGGAAAGTGATTGTAGAAAGAATGGTCTTTTCAAAAAATGGTGCTGGAGTAATTGGACATCCATTTGCAAAAAAAATCTGGATATAGACCTTACACTTTTCACAAAAATTGACTCAAAGTGGATCATAGACATAAATATAAAATGGAAAACCTTAAAACTTGAGAAGAAAACAAAGGAGAAAATCTAGGTGAACTTGGGTTTGGCAATGACTTTTTAAGATACAACATCAAAAGAATGATCCATGAAAGAAAAAAATTATAAGTTAGATTTCATTAAAATTAAAAACTTGTGCTCTTCAAAAGACTGTTAAGAGAATGGAAAGACAAGGGAGAAAATATTTGCAAAACACGTATCTGATAAGGGACTTGTATCGAAAATATACAAAACTCAACAATACGAAAACAACCCAGGCTTCCCTGGTGGTGCAGTGGTTAAGAATCTGCCAGACAATGCAGGGGACACAGCTTCGAGCCCTGGTCCGGGAAGATCCCACATGCCACGGAGCAACTAAGCCCCTGCGCCACAAATACTGAAGCCTGCATGCCTAGAGCCTGCGCTCCGCAACAAGATAAGCCACCGCAATGAGAAACCCGCGCACTGCAAGGAAGAGTAGCCCCCACTCACCGCAACTAGAGAAAGCCCGCGCCCAGCAACTAAGACCCAACACAGCCAAAAATAAATTAATTAAACAAATAAATTTATTTTTTAAGAAAGTGAACAACCCAATTTTTAAAATGGGCAAAAGATCTGAACAGATACCTCACCAAAGAAGATATACAGATGAAAAGTAAACAAATGAAAAATACACTCAACCCCTTTTCTCATTAGGGAATTAGAAATGAAAACAATGAGAGACTCCTACATACCTATTAGAATGTCTAAAATTTTTTTAAAAACCTATGTTAAATGCTGGTGGAGATACAGAGCAACAGGCACTCTCATTTATTATTGGTGGGAACGCAAAATTGTACAGCCACTTTGGAAGACAATTTAGCAGCTTCTTACAAAGCTAAGCATAGTCTTACCATATGATCTAGCAATTGTGCTCCTATATATTTACCCAACTGACTTGAAAACTTATGTGTACACAAAAACCTGCACATAAGTATTTATAGCAGCTTTATTCATAATCACCCAAAATTGGAAGCAACCAAGATGTCCTTCAGTAGGTGAGTGAGTAGCCTGGGTTACATCCGTACAATGGTATCTGTAAGACACAGCATTACCGACTGGGTCTACTAGGTGCAAGTGATGTTTTTGGCCACATGGTGGTGGTTATTCAAGCTCTTGAATCGTTTGAAATCTCCCTTAGATCTTAGTTCCCAAAATAAAATTCAAATCAGGTACTAAACTCCTCCTGCCAGCACTCTGAGAGAAAGAATTTTTATTCACTTTAAAAAGGTAAAAAAGGTTAGATTTCTCATCACGTGGTCTCTGCTATAAAATGCAGTCACAACTTTGCCAGGCTAAACCACAGAAACAAATATGGGGAATAACATGTCTTTACACTCTGACCTTACACTTACTGTCCTGTGTAATTAATAATAGCAACGCTTTTTACTTTCAAAAGTGTACAGTTTACAGGACTTCCCTGGTGGCACGGTGGTTAAGAACCTGCTTGCCAGTGCAGGGGATACGGGTTCGAGTCCTGGTCCGGGAAGATCCCACATGCCTCAGAGCAACTAAGCCCGTGTGCCACAACTACTGAGCCTGTGCTCTAGAGCCCGCGAGCCACAACTACTGAGCCCATGTGCCACAACTACTGAAGGCTGCGTGCCTAGAGCCTATGCTCTGCAGCAACAGAAGACACCGCAGTAAGTCCACACACCGCAACGAAGAGTAGCTCCCGCTTGCTGCAGCTAGAGAAAAGCCCACGCACAGCAACGAAGACCCAACACAGCCAAAAATAAAAAAATTTTTTTAAAAAGTGTACAGTTTAAACAATATGGAACCTCCTCAATTTCCCCCCAAATGGATCACTCCAACTTTTAACATCTTGATTTAATGAAATTTCCATCTGTTACCTATTTTATGACATGGGTCAGTGATTTGATTGCTTTGCCCAGAAGTCAGATACCTTTTTCAAAGACACCCGTTTTAATTAAGCCCATCCTAAGTAAGGTACTTTTTCCATTTGTTTGTTTTGCTTTGTTTACTGCAAAAACTTCCAACTTAAGTGTTACCACTGTGTTTTGGAGTTTGAAAGACTGGAAACAAACAAACAGACAAAAACCCTTCTTTGTCCTGCGAGTTATGTTCATTACCACAAGGTGGTGGTTTCCTCAAGGGAAACACTTCTGTGATCCAAATTGAACACCAGGAGCATTTTCTCGATTAAAACTCTTCAGAGCCGTGATGTGACTGTGTAAAAGAAGAATGAACCTACTCGCTTTAACAGCAAATCACAAACCAGAGCAAATTATTTCCCCAGATAACTTCCAGTCTTCCATGTTAGATAAGAATGTATACATATAATACATCTTTGTCTAGGCTGACAAATATCTCTGCTTCTGGATATTATGTTTTCTTTTTCCATAAGTACCAGCATGTCCCTACTGTAACTTGCTCTGCGAAAGGCAGCCAGGAGTCATAGAACTGGGAACTTTCAAGTCTAATAGGCTTGGGTGGGCCCTGGACCTACCACCTACTGCCCGTGTGAGCTTGGGCAAGTTACTTCAACTTCAACTTCAACTTCCTCAGCCTCGGTTTCCTTGTCTTTAAAAGGAGGAGTATAATACCTACCATTCAGGGATGTTGTGGAGAGAGATAATGCCTTTTAAAGTTTCTGGACAGTAAAGCCGTTATTGGTATTGTTGTTAAAGTATCATGTTTGGAGTGTAGGATCATTGCTGGGAGGTAGCTTCCCAGTCAAGGATCAAGATGACCGCTCCCTCCCTTGCCTACAGATGGAGCCATTGGATTAGTTTTCCTCAGTCAGGGTGGACACAGTTAGTGTTACTCGGGGGCCTAAGTGGTGAAGTATCAGATGTAGAATCTTCCACACTCTGCCCCTAGCTGCCAGCTTGATGTTACCAGGATAGCTTTAATGACCAGAAATTTTACATTTTTTTTTTGAAATTTTACATTTTTGATGAGATTTAATTTACCAATTTTTTATTCTATTTATTGTTTTCTTTGTCTGAAGAGCTCTTTTCCTAAGGAATCTTTGCCTACTCCCATGAAGGCATACCCTTTATCTTAAAGTTATAATACTAGAAATTATTTTTTAATTATAATAAAAGAAGTTATGTAAAATTCACATTTAGATGATTAAAATGCACATTTGAGATGATCCATCTCAAATACACTTTTTCATTGAAATTTTTATTGAGATAATTATAGACTCACACAGTTGTAAAAATAACCTTGAGAAAATCTTTGTACACTCTGCCGAGTTTCCCCCAATGGTAACATTTTGTAAAACTATAGTATAATATTGCAACCAGGATATTGACATCAATACAATCCACCCATCTTACTCAGGTTTCCCTAGTTTTAGTTGTACTCATTTGTGTGTGTGTGTGTGTGT